AGAGGCAACTTAGTAGAGATGAAGTGATTAATCATGATGACTTGATTATTGAAATAACTCATTTAATAAGTAATTAATTACTAACTGGAATATATAGACTCAATAAAAGGCGGTCTGAGCAGTAATTAAGCTAAAACTGTATAAAATATATATATAGAATATACCCAAAACTCCTCAGGGGGCATGCATTTAGTTTCACTCTGTTCAGATTCTCTAAATAAATCTCTAATTACGCATTTTTTGCATCCAGTTATTAATCAGTTAATCCAACAAATAATCAACAGATAAGTTGAGCAGAACAGACTGAGCTCGTTATTTTTAGAAGTATTTTTCTAAAAAATGGTCAAGAGTTCACTAAAGCAATGATGGTGTTGCATTACAGATAATTCTTTACTTTCATCTTTAAAGTATTTCTGATAAATTAAATTAAACTCTGTAACGTGTAATTTTTGTTATGATGAATTGAATAATTGATCATTTAATTTACGACTGCAATAATTGTAACTGCACAGTGGAGCAGTTGGTAGAGCTGTTGCCTTGCAGCAAGAAGGTTCTGGGTTCAATTCCCAGCCCCAGTCTTTCTGCATGGAGTTTGCATGTTCTCCCTGTGCATGGTGGGTTCTCTCTGGGTACTCTGGTTTCCTAAAAACACAACTGTCAGGTTAATTGGCCTCTCCAAATTGTCCGTAGGTGTGAATGTGTGTGTGCTTGGTTGTGTGTCCTGTCTGTCTCTGCGTTGCCCTGCGACAGACTGGTGACCTGTCCAGGGTGACAGCTGGAGATAGGCACCAGCAGCCCTCCCAACCCCACCAAGGGACAAGGGTGTAAAGAAAATGGATGGATAATTGTTAGTCTGATATTTAACTCCAGTGTGGAGGACAATAGATAGATATAAAAGCTCTCAGGACTGAACTTTGAGACGTCTGTTCTGCATTGACTCAAACTTCGCATTTTTCAGTGTTGTGCTGTCAGCTTGTACTTTTATTATCCTCAAAATGTTTCCAAATATCAGTGGGATAGTATGTAAATATCTGAGCCTGTTTGAATAATTTTAACCATTGGGAATCAGAGAAAAGGTAGAATAAATCAAAACTTTTGTCTGATTTGACCCAGACTTCCTCTGGTTCATGTTTTCTGAAGTTATTCCTCTTCTTCACCCAGGAAATGACATATCTGAATGGTTTTGTCTTCCAGATTCCTGACATCTCTCTCTTTGTGATGGATACAGCTGACCAGTTTGTGAAGGAGATTTTCTCCTGGATCACTCAGGGGGAGAAGTATGCAGACAAGCTGAAGAAACTGGCAGGGAGGCTGGAGTCTGGAAGTGGGGGCAGAAACACTCAAGAACATTTGACTGAAGTTGGGAATACTTTAAAGGCAATCAATAAAACAGTGACCAGGATTAGGGAGTTGTTTAAGGAATTGAAGGAGAAGAAGAAGCTGAACTCCAACCCAGACCCAAAGGACCCAGAGGATCCAGAGAAGCTCCATAGACTCATACTGGCTGATGTTCTGATGGCTTTGGGGAGACATGGAAAACTGGACATGTCCAACATTGACCAACTACCTGAAAGGCTGATAAAGTTTCTTGCAAATCTCGGTTTCTCACACATCCTGACGAGTTTCTGTGTTGTTCTGTTCACCTTCAAGCTGGAAACTGGTTCAGAAAGTTTTCAGATTCTGGCCAGAAGTAGATCTATGGAGGCGTCTGGAGGCGTCAAGGTGAGACTTTCACTGTAGCTACATCACATCAAATATATGATTCATCTACATATTCAGTTCAGTTGATACATGTAGTATCAATTCACACAGTGACTTGCAAAAGTATTCATCCCCCTGAGTCAATATGTTGTGGAACCACCTCTTGCTTCAGTCTCAGTTTCTTGTCTTTTAGGGTTTTTCTCCACCAGTTTTGCACATCCAGACTGAAATTTTGACCATTTTTCTTCACCAAACAGTTCAAGCTGAGTCAGATTAGTTGGAGAGCGTTTGTTAACAGCATAGAATCATGTATAATTTTTTTTTTCTATTTTACAATTGTTTACAACCTGGTGAATATTTTTGCAAGCAACTGGACATCATCTCTGTGAAGTCCAGAGATGACGTCTCTCTGTGATTTCATCTCAAATGAATCAAGTCATTTCAAATGAATCAATTCAAATTAATCTGAATTATATTAAACATTAAACTAACATCAGTTTATTCAAACCAGTTTAAAGGTTTTCTAGTTAAAGAAACCCAGCAGGTTGCATCAAGTCATTCACTCCTGGATGAACATGTTGGATCCCTGGACTCAGATTATCACAGTTTGCTGTTTGGCTTCGTCTTTAATAATTAATAACAGTGCTTTTGTTTCTGAGTGAAAATTTAATCTCTTACTTTGACTACACCTACTGCTATCTGTCCAATCCTGTACTGATCTGCTGATCTTCAGCTTGCAGGGGTGGGGGCGATGGCATACTTCCTTCCAGAAGCAATCGACAGCTGGAGTGATCAGATCGAGAACAACCATGTGACAGAGGCCAGTCGATCTCTGAGGAGCAGAGCTGAGCAGATCCTGGAGATCATCAGGGAGCTGAGGAAACAGTTCAGCATCATTGAGTATGTTGGTCGCTTGTGAAAACACACAAACATTAATGATTCAAGTTTTCCTCAAAAACAGTCAGAATGTTGATGAGAAATAAATCTTAAAATGTTACTTTCCTACTTTTTCCCCACAGGGAATCTATCAGAAAACTAAACGGAATCAAAAACATCAGAGAGAATATAAACAAGAACCAATATGAGAAGAACACACTGGTTGATTACACAAAAAATACTTTCAAAACCGCAGAAGTTCAACAGTGGTTGAATGACACCAAACAGCCTGATGTCTTACCCCGGCTGGAGGATCTTGTGGTCTCCATATATAACAAGCTGAAGAAGAAGGTCAGGAACAAGAAGAAGACTGAGCTGATCTTCTTGGCTCATGGATCGATTGAGGACCAGATGATTCCTGCCAGCTCTCTGCTGCCTCCGAGGTTCATCACAGACGTCCTGCTGTATTCTCCCTGGAACTGTTTCCTGTCTGCTGAAGCGGCCTACGGCATCGCTAAAGGAACCATCCGGCCTGATGCTGATCCAGACCACCGGCAGTTTAAGTGCACAAGCCCATGTGATGGTCTTACTGAGGGCCATCCACATAAACCACCCAATCTGCCCCGTAACTGGAACTCCATGAGGATTTCTGGATCTTCAAACATCCCTAAGATCATGGTTAGTCCTGTAGGAGAACAAGAAGGGGAGATGTATACACGTTTCACAGATCTAATGGCAAGTTATGGTGAACCACGGGGCAAACGGGTTGTCTTCACTTACAAAGCTCCCGACTTCGACATATTGCCCTTCTCTGATGTCATGTTGGCCATTTCTGTGGTGCTCTCTTTCTTCGAATGTGAAGCCACCGTCCACCTGGCCGCTCACCTTATAAAATCACCCAAAGCCGGCAAAATGCAGGAGGAGCATCTGAGCCAGCAGTACGCCTACACTGTGGACAACACCACCATGACCGTTCCAGAAGAAACTTTCTCCTAAGATGAACAGGTTTATAACATGCTCTGTATCTGGTGATGATTCTCCATCTTCCTAAAGGCCAATCCAGACCTGGAGTACAGAAGCACAGAGCGGACGTTTTCCCACATTTATTTTTTCTGGATGGTTTTCTCTAGAGAACTGGTTAATTTCCCAATAATACTTTTCAAGATAAATTCATTTCCTGTTTTCTGTGTATCTTTTACTCACTGGTTTTGTCATGATAAGTTAATTTTCTGATGATTTTCTCAGAAGGTGTAAACCTTGAGAAAACGTAGTTTGCTATTTAACACACACATCAATCATCTTGTCATCTTGAGGAAACCGTAGGTTAAGTGTTTATGTGTAAAATGTCCGCTCTCTGGTTCTGTACTGGAGAACAGAATCGGATCACACAGCTCACAGGTTTTCTTCAGTTTATTTCTTCTCTGCTTGCAGCTGCCTGAGTTTCTCCTCTCAGTTCAGTTTTAGTAAAGTGGAGTTTGGCCTTCCTCACACAGGAAGACCAAATTTAAACAGTACTTAAAACTTGAACTGTTGAAATAATTAAATGCTATATAAAACTCTGAAATGTTTTAACAACTGGCTTAAAGTAAAAGAGGATTAGGAAGCAGCTTTATGTACTGATAGTTTTAACTGTAATCAAGTTATTATCGTGTTTTTGATGTATTTGTAGTCAGAAAATAACTGCAGTCATAGATGCAGGTTGTTGATGGGCTAGAAACAGAGGAGACGTTAACTCACTGACGGGGTCAGGATGTGTCTGTGAACCGAGACAACAGAGAAGCTAAGCAGGAGCCAGAGCTGATCACTGGGCCTTCAGGAAGCAGACGGCAAAACATGAAATAAGACAAAGGAGCTGCTGAGAGAAAAGGATGGAAGGTGACCTTTGACCTGCCTCAGGTCAAGATCAGGGCCTAAAACTCCATCTAATGCAGGCCTGATGGCTAACTCCAGCTGGTTAAAGGTAAAATCCACCTGATTCTCCATCTACCTGATGCTGTTGATAGACCATAGCAGCAGCAGAGCCCGTAAATCTGCCACGAAGCAGAGGAACAGCAGACAGGCAGCCGTCTCACACAAACCCAAACATCCTGAATCAAAGCCGAGAGGATCCAAGGACTGCAGAACAGCAGAGGGAAACTACCTGCAGATCTAAATCAGACCTCTAACGTCGGCGAAGGCCTGGGCTCCAACATTCAAGGCAAAGAGGGAGGGAGACTCCCCTGTGTGAAGAGATAACAGTCATCAGCTGGAAACAGGAGGAATCAGAGAAACCAACCTGAGGACGGCAGCCTGCCTGCAGCTGCTGCTCCATCCCACCTCCCTCATCGCCACGTCATGAGCTGCATCTCCTACTGCTGTCAGTGTCACACTGAGGGAAATATATTTAGATTTATTTAGCTTTATAGTCATTTGCATTATTATCTCCTGATTGCTGCTGCCGCATCAAACTGTAACTGCAAAACTTTTCCTTACTAATAAATATCAAGCATAAAAAAATCTAAGATGGTGTGGACATTGAACTTACTGAGTCATGATAGTTTATGTGGTAAAATAGCTGCAGTGCATGGTTCTAGTGAATTAAAGGCTTTAAAAGGTTGATGGGCATAAACTGAAAAACAGTTTCCCAGGGGTCAAAGGTGAGCCGTTCTGCTCAGACGGCAGCTGGTCTGATTGATCAGGATGATCAACCTGCATCAATCACTGATGTTCTCAAACTATCAGCAGCAAGAAACTAAAGACATTAAACTTGTTTCTGCTTTTATTTCCACTTTAATCTCAAAATAAATGTAACATAATGAGAACATCCTGAGAGGCATGAGGACGTTCCCCAGTGTTAAATATGACTTTATAAAACATCCAGACTTCAGTTATCTACTGGTTCTTCAGGTCCAGTTTGTTAAAGATGGAGGAGCTTCTTTAACAAACTGGATGTTTATTCTGAGATTCTGGGTTTTTGATCAAATGTTTATTTCCTATCAAAGACCTGGATTATTCCAGCATCTGGAGATAATCTGCTGCAGGAATAATCCAGGTGTTTGAAGGGCGGCTGAGTGGATCAGAACCAGACGACAGGATTCTCAGGTTTAGAGTCTCAATAATTAAACTGAGATTCAAACTTTCTACCAGGAAGTAGAGCTGAAACTAATGATTGTTTAATAATCAATTGTTCTAATCATTTATTCTGATGATTAACCGGATAAAAAATTGATACATTCTAAAGATTTTTCATTTAACCACTCAAGATGTTTTATAATCATTTTTAAAAACAAGAAAATTAAATTTTTATTGCTAAAATTGCAGTAACATCATTCCTTTAGTGGACGTGATGATTTGTAGCAAATGAAGCATCTGCAGCTAAAAAAGTCACTAAGATCAACTTGTGAAAAGATCAACCCTTTCAAAATGACTTGATATAGAACAGGACTGATTATTGATTATTTTGGATTAATTAACAGCAAAAGATGCTTAATATGAGATTCATTATTATTTAAACCTGAAGCCTTTCAGTCCAGGTTGAGTCTAAAGTCTTTAATTTTAGTAACTTGAGTCAGAGACTCTGGTGTCCATTTCTGTTTAATATGAGATTTTTTAATTTCTTCAAATTAAAACCATCCCAACTGAGACACGTTTTCTGATTAAAATGATGCAGCCATGTTGACCTGATATGAACTGCTCCTGTAAGCCACAAAGAATGAATTTTACTTTCAGTTTCACTTTCCTGTAAACCAGCAGAAACACAGAAATCCCACCTCTGCCTCCTCCTCCTCTTTCTCCTCCTCCTCTTCCTCCTCCTATATAAACAAACCGTTTCCATCAGATTGTTTTGGCTCTCAGTCGACCAACAGAGACGCTGCTCTGTGAGTTTGAACCAATCTGACCTTATTCAGGATTAATGTCTGATTTATTCTGTCTTTTATTGCTCAGGGTTTTCATGTCTGTGTTCAGGGTTTAATGTTTTCACAGTTACAGCAGCAGTTGAACTCCATCTTTTACTCCATCTTTAACTGTAATCCAGAGTGTTCAAAGTGTGACTTATTTGAAATGACTGAGAACTGAACAGGCGTTGTGCAGGTGAACAATTTTTCATATTTTACAGCAACATTTTCATAGACATAACAATTCTTAATTCTTAAAATATATATTGTTTATTAACCAGGTTCATCTTAATTTTTAGTAAATAACCACAAACATCCAGTAACTTTGACTTCATAGTAGACTTTGGTGCCCCAACCAATTTAACATTGGTTTATACAGACCCTCAACAGTATTTAGCTAAATATAATAATTTAACAAAGTAAATTAGTCTGGCTGCTGCCTGTCTAATAATGACTCTTAATGTATTCTCAGTTCCTTTTCCTCCATGATGTTAAGACACCAGGGAAGGAGGAAGGAGGAACTTTAACTATCAGACTCGGGGCAAGATTTCTTTTTTCAACATGTACTTGTTTGTGAATAAAAACGTAGGTCTGATGTGGAAGCTAGAAAAATAATTTTTATTTATTTTTAGTTAACTCTGAATAAGCAACTTGTGGCTCTTTAGACCATGTTAGGAAAATAAATTTAAAATGTGATAGTATTTGAACTTAACTATATGTAGTTGGGGACAAGTTTGATTATATTGGTTTTAGCAACAGTTA